GTCGCATCGGGTCATGCTATACCTTTTTGGAAAGCTCATTTCACGCGCGAACACGTGTTTGCTTGATTGTCCTTTCTTTTAAGTGGTTCGTGAGGTATTGTGTCCCAAACAAGGAGCAAAATAAAGAGAAAATGCGGCATATTTTACAGTACTACTACGATAACGGCAACAATGCATCTCAAGCCGCCAATAAAATTAGTGCAGTTTATGGACCGGATATAGTTTCCATTTCCACCGCACAACGATGGTTTCAACGTTTTCGTTCTGGTAAAGAGGTGGTCGAAGATGCGCCACGCTCCGGAAGGCTGATTTTGGTCGAAAGAGACCGGCATAGTAGCAACCGTAGCATCGGTCAAGAGCTGGGAGGTATGAGTCATCAAAAAACTTTTATGAACAATTGAAAATTCAATAAAAATACCGCAAGACTTTTTTGATAACCTAATATATTCTTCGATTAGGAAATACGAAAGGCCATAATTTTTAAAGATGGCGGATATGCATCGATTAGGAACTGCGATTAATGTAAACTGCAGCTTCGTAACAAGTATACATTTTCTACAAATAATATCCCCTCTCCAATATCGTTTATACTTGGATATACATATGTATGTCAGATAACTAAAGTTAAATATTATAATTTTTAATCCTAAACACGATGTTAAGTTGGGGAACTGATTTTATTTTGGAGATTAAATGTATTCCCAAAAATCTGCGAAACACAAAGTCTGAAAAAAATTCAAAGCAAGTCTTCCGCGAAACATTTAAACCACTTTTATAGGCTATAAACAAGTTTTGCAAATGATGCATTGGTTCCCATCATTTACCTAAAGCGTCCATTCATAATATCTTACCATTCCGTTTAGTAGAAAAACTTGGTGGAAGCAACATTTTACAGACTCATAAATCAGCACAAGGCCCATACACATATAGACACACATGTACAAGTATAAGCTCATATAGGAAACTAAGGAGGCAGCCTTAATGCTTTAGGGTTAGCGTACTCTAATACCCTACCTACGAAACACAAAACTACCAAAAAATCGAAAAGTTCAATATAAATGTAAACCAAAGCATTTTGCAGAGGTTATAATTTAAATCTTCGTAAATTTTACCAAAACCCATACACGCACGAAATCACTATCCCAAGTCAACATTTCTTTCAGTTAACGAAATTGCTTCTTCTACGAGTATACTCACGCAACATGTCGCAACAGTTTTTAATTTTTAACAGGTTTTCGAGTATACTTGAGTATTGTCAAAACTTAAATTTGATAGTCAGTATATGAGATTTTCGAAAATATATGAATATATTCGGTTTCAACTGAACTCAGCCATTCCTTATTCTTTTTTTATCACACTTTGTCGTTTTGTGTATATCATAAGTATGCTTGCCGTATAGTAATCTTTTCTCAGGCAAGCAAGCTGGACTAAGCGACCCATAAATCATGCAAATGAATTATGGGTCTCACATCCGCTGTGAATGCGTAACAAAAAGCTTTTTAAAATCGCCGCCAAAGTGTTGCCAAACCAATAGCAAGTACAAAGTATAAAAAGCCAAATTACGCCACATTAATTTAATTTCGTTGGTGAATGAATTTGAGTCTCGTGCACCCACGCGTTTGCGCTGTTGCTACGGTTGGCTGGCATTGTGCGATTTGGGTGCTTATGGCTTTTCTATATTCATTGAAGAAAACGTTGAAGAAAGATAATGAAATGTTGAGAATTTGAGGCTTGGCTCAAGTATATTTGTCGCTCTTGAACATCTTTTCTAACTCCGATTGCTGTAGAATTCGGGAATATTTTCGTCCGAAGAAAACCTGATCTAAACTTTATCAGACTATGTTACCAGTAAACAAACTTGATTTAGTTGTTTCATTAAATTATAAAAAACCAGTGAAAGGTGAATCGAAAACTTTTAGTAAATTCCACTTATGTATCTCGTATGCTGAAGTCAATACTCCAAGACTTATAGAATAAATGTCAGGTCTACACAAAACAAATACATATGGCAAACACCCTGTCCAATCAGATCAGGGAGATGCGCATTTCAAAGAATTTTCTCAATTCAGATTCAATTGTACTGAACCCTCAGTACAAAATATTCTAGGTATATATATGGCTATATAGGGCTAAAACCACGTCTACTTCCAATATAACAAAATTTGAATTTCACTTGTTTCTTCCACTTTCTTGGACACATGTCAAGAAGTTCCGAAATTAAACATTTCACGATAAGTTCCTTTGGAAGTATGTCACCTTAAGACCTAAGTAGTCCAAATCTAACCAAAACTTTTCAAGTCCCTAGGTGTCGAATATATGAGAGATGTGTGAGATATATAATTGAATTCTGGAGCTTATAATTTATCAACTTTTTTAGAGTAATTGGAGTTTGAAAAGTTTGAATAATTTTCGATATTTATAAACGGTCAAAGTTATAAGTGCAAGAATTACTGCTACGTTTCAGATGGTCCATCCTTTAGGTCCATCAAACCGTTGCTTTTTCTGTATGAGATGGTAGTTCTTCAATCGCTTCAGGTTGGTTTTCGTCCCAAATTCGGTAGTTTTGCTTGTTTACATACCCGTTGAACCAAAAGTGAGCCTTATCGCATAGTTTGGTTCGGAAATGTCGAATCTTCTTAGAACTTTTCAAGACTCCACAGAGAAAAGTAATGTAGCTAAGGAATGTGAAATGACTTCAGTTCTTGGTTAAGTACGTTTTCGTAATCTTTTTATTTAAGATCTCGACGTAAAATGTACCAAGTCGTTCCTTAGATCAGTCCGGGTTGCTAAGAACGGCGCCGAAATCTACGAAGATCGTAGACACTCTCATCTACGGCTGCTATATTTTTTTACTACGTGCTAAACGTAGTCTGTTCGGTCGAATATTACCCAGTTATGAATGCTGAGTCTCAAGTAAGCCGATTATGTTGACCACAAGTTGGGTGAAGTGCGCGAAACACATTCTTTACGGAACGTGAATTTTCGTAATAAAGTTGAATAATTTGTAAATGTTGTTCAGGCATAAGTCTTTCCATCATAAAATGTCAAACAGTACTGATCAAAAATAACATGGCACTGTGACACGGCTTACACGTGATCCGTCAAAATAGTTCTATCTTTATAAAATATTAAATGTCGCTCATGAGTGTATTAATAAACTTGCTAAGAAGAGAAGTAAACACCGGTGGAATTTACACTTTTTATAAAGTTATAACTGAGGTGTTTTCAAAAACTGGTGATTGCGTCTACTTTGATGTTGAAAACATTGCATGGGTTTCCAAATTATGACTAAAGAAGTCATTTTGTTAACAGTAAAAAGATTCCTCAAATTTATTCAGAGGTTTAGGAAAAAGCAGTAGTTATTAAATTCTATGGTTATGCAGGTATATAAAAAATAAAATGTTATTACTTACCCACATAATGTCAAACTCAGCTGACGATGTTTCGTTTTATGTGCGAATATGAGAAAAATATATCACACTGCAATCTATTGCAAGTCGACGTTGAATGCGTTGAGGGAGCTTACCGAAAATAAGTTTTAATAGTAAAGGAATTATTTTTAATTTTGTCTCTTTTCTTAAGGTGTTTTAGTCCTTAAAAGGACTGCTTTGGTTCAAATAATGTTTTCTTTATATTTTTGATGTAAATCGTCTCATTCTTAAATGTATGTATTTAGAAAAAAGGTTGGTGTAGGGTTTTCTAAAAAATCATACATGATATGCGCACGTAAATGCTTTATCACTCAGCTCATGTCTCTTCTGGCCTCCTGCAAGAATACTCAAATCTGCGCCGTGGATTTTTCTTGCAAATACACCTCTTCTTCACATTGTATGGCACCTCCATGTAAAATTTTGTCCTCCAATTTATTCGAAACCTTCACTTCTATGTTATGGTTCAGATAGTCTATCAATAAAAAAATAGTTAAAATGTGTCTTGCTTACTAGAAGGATTAGTTGAATCATGCTTAGTGTAGTGAAACGGCAAAACCCTGTAATGGAATATAAACATAAAAACATTGTAACAGTAATTATTTAAAAAAAAATAAAGAAAATCTGTAATATTCGATAAGAAAAGTGAAAAGGAAATTTGGTAAGTTATCTCATCCTCTTAAAAAGTATCATGGATTTAACGATTATTGTTCAGTTTTCTGAACAGTTCTTAACGGCTACAATTGAAAATAATTTATATTTGTGAATATATACAGGAACAGATATCACGTTAGAAATATTTATGTGCATTATCGCCAGCATATACGATAGTGTTCATGTTGGATATATTAATACATATAGTAATAATTAATGTATGCAATACAAATATTGTACTGGCTATGTAAAGGATCACAAGTGATGCTAAACTAATAAACAGACAAGAACTAGTTGTCTTATTTGGTGGTGGTGCATACATGTTCTAGGATAAGAAAATCTATAAATGAAGGAGGTCTGTGCAACCAGAGTTGAAAACTATTTTGTAACAGAAACCTTCGCGTCTTATTACGTAACAAGTATGCTGTATACAAATGCGTGTTTCTATACTTTTCGATGGGGTATATACCGAGAGTTGAAGAGAGAAGCGAGCCGCATTTGCAAACAAAAAAGGAAAGACGCCGAAATTTGTGAGTATGAAGAGCTTGACAAGCTGGCCAACAGGGGTAATGCTCCAAAAGTTTACGTAAAGATGCGAAACCCAATACATAAAAGGTTTCAACGGAGCATACTCTTGTAGAGCACAAAGAGGTTCTGTTCAATCCACAAACAAAGATACGACACAATCTGCGCCAACTACCGTATATAATGTTCCATGGAGCGTATGTTTGTGAAATATTAAGGCCATCAAAAAAACAAATTGGACCTTATCAGTATGGCTTTAGGCATGCGCGAGTGAAAATAAAATCGAGACATATGACCTCTTCGTCGATTTCAACGCTGAGCTGAATGAGATGTACGACGACACCGACATAGTTCAGCGAATGAAAAGACAGCGGCTGCGCTGGCTAGGTCATGTCATGAGTAGGGACGAAAACACTCCAGCTCTGAAAGTATTCGACGCAGAACACGCCGGGGGAAGCAGAGGAAGGAAATACCTCCACTACGTTTTAAAGACCAGTTGGAGAAGGACCTGGCTTCGCTTTGAATCTCCAGTTGCCGCCACGTTTCGAAAAGAAAAAACGATTGCCACGCTGTTGTTAACTCGGCTATAATCGCTATGCGGTGTCTACGCCAGTAAAGAAGAAGAAACATTTAATTTACCAGGTATACCGGTATGAAATAAGTGTTTTTACTGAAAATTATGTACTAATTTTGAATGGAAAAGTAAAATAAAACTATTCAAAGTATTGACTATTGCTTCTTACACATTTTGGCCATTGAGGACACAATGTCCATTACCATTTCTATGGTCGTCTTTTGAAGTATACCACTCAGAGACCCAGGTTTCGACTTCTGCGTAAGAATCGAAGTGCTGCTCAGCCAAGTAGTTTGATTGTATCCTGAACCTATGCAGGTTCATTGTGGTGTAACAAAATAACTTTGCCGTATATTTTGGTCCATTGTGGTTGTTTTTCGATCAATGTATGGTTCAAAATGATCATTTCTTATCTGTAGTAATTAGAATTAATAGCTACACCAGGTTTTAGAAGTTAATTATATACCGCACTCTTCGGATCCCAACAAACGCGGAGCATTGCCTTCTTACCGAGTGGATCTGTTTTTGCAGTCGATATCCCAGATTAACCCATGATCTTCTCCGATTATGATGTAAACTGATTTTCTGTTATGTTTCTAAAGCAAAATTTCGGAAGCGTTTTTTCGATTTTCCATTTGGCTTTCATTCAATTCATGTGACACCCATTTTGCACACTTTTGGATCTTTCCCCAACGGTCTAAAATTGTTTGTTGTGCAACATTTAATTACAACATTTACTATTTGCTTTTAACTCAAAGTATCGTCTTCATCAAATATTGCTTGAAGTTCGGCGTTTTCAAACTTTTTTGGTGGTGTTCCAAATCGTTATCTCTGAACCGTTTATTACGTGCTAGTTTTGATAGAGCATGATCACAACATGCCTCGAGAAGCATTCGATGCAGCACTTCTCTGATCCTCAAATAATTACTTTTCCTTACAAAATTGGCATTTTCAACACAATATGATGTAGTTTATCTAATGACAGGGTTATTAAATTTGTTTGACAGATATTATGTCAACCAAACAGAAACAAATTTAAAGCTGATTCACAACAAATGCTTCCCACCAACATATTTGTATCTTTACGCTCACTTCATACTGGTAGACCACGGTAATTCCCTGTTAACCTAGTATAATAGTTGTCCATAAGAATCGCGAATCCCCTGGATAGTTTGTACTTTATTTGCCAAAACAGCCGATTTGCATGTCCTGCCTTTTGTTTTGGAGATGAGATGAACAATTTTGATTAAACGAGCACACAGCAATGAAACGTTTTCATGTTGAAAACGTTGTTACAGCCAACAATTTAATTGCTCATTTGCATTTGCAACAACAAGCCCAATCGGTAATGACAGGAACGGCTCAGTCTCTCTTTGCCACTGGAAAACAAATCAGCATAATGGAATAATCTTTACAAAAATAACATTTCGTTTTGTCTTTATTTCTGTGAATATCTCTCTATTAGTTGTGGGTATCTTAATTGCCGTTAAATATGCAACTGCCAAAGTGCACAATGGTACAAACACTATTCAATTGTTTTGACAATCAAGAAACGTGATTAAGTCAAAAGTGTGACATTCCTCTACTTCAGCTTACTCTTTACAATTCCCTCTCTTTTCTCTACTTCGGACCAATCGCTAACGCTGAATTGACTAACTTCAGAGTAGGAGGTGAAATCATCGCTGCAGCAATTGTTTGTGTACTAAATTCCCCCGACTAAAGTTAATGGTCTTTTCTCATTATGTGAATAACCTGAATGGTTAATAAATGAATATATTAATATAAATTTAACTCTCAACCAAGACCAGAATGCTGGCTCGTCCACTAGATCGATCGGGAATCCAGCCTCATAATTTCACCCATCCATCCACTTTTCGAACATTATCCAATCCCACACCACGAATAGAAAGAGGAACAATAGAAGTTGAAAATATGAGGTCAACTTTAAGATTGAGATTACATTTAATAAAAGGAAATTTTCAAATTTCTAAATAATGTGAAAATTATGTTCAATACAAAGGCTGCAAACAAGACGGAGAGAGCCAAATAACAAAATGAAATAACTGTTTTTTACTACAATTGATCCTATGGGTAATGTTCAAATAAAATATACATACGAGGTGTGTTCAAAAAGTATCGCGAATTTTGAATTTTCGCGGGTTACGTATATTCGAAATTCGAATTTTTTGTGGCGTTATGTTGGTACTCATGTCTCTCACTTATGCCGACAAGCTCGGCCATTTTAAATGTTCATTTAATTGTTGACAGCTGCTTTGCTTGCACGTGTTTTGGATCGTCTTCGATTTTTACCTATTCAAAAAAATGGATCAAAGACCTGTATCAAATTTTGTGTGAAAACAAAATTAAGTTCGCGGATGCATTCCGGACCGAAGCAACGTTTATCGGTGGTACAAAATGTTCTCAGAAGGCCGAGAAGATGTGACAAAAATTGGCTTTTGCACCACGATAACGCCCCTGCTCACATATCGTTGCATGTGCGCGACTTTTTGGCCAAAAACAACACACACAGCCGCAACCATCGTATTCCCCAGATCTGGCCCCCTGTGACTTTTTCTTGTTCCCTAAACTGAAGAGGCCCACGAAAGGACGACGTTACGCTTCTCTTGACGAGATAAAGACGGTATCGAAGGAGGAACTGAAGAAGATAAAAAAAATGAATTTTTGAAGTGCTTCGAAGATCGGAAAAACCGTTGGCATAAGTATATAATATCTCATAGGGATTACTTTGAAGGGGACAAAATAGATATTCATGAATAAATAAATAATTTTTGAAAAAACACAAAATTCGCGATACTTTTTGAACATACCTGGTATATTTATTTCCAACAATTTAATCCAAAATAGCATATCACTAAAATATATTTACAAAATTTGATTTGATAAGATTTTGAGAAAAAAGCTGTAAAAATTCCTATTTTGTGCAGATAGGTAAATATTAACAAAATACGCAGATGCCGTTTAATTTTTGTTTTTTGTTATTGCTTTGGTATCACTTATAAATAATTTTTGTGGTCACCCCTATAAAAGCAACGCATCACATAATTAAGTGTCATTATGTTGTATGAACCATTGATTTATCAGCCAAATGTAACTACGTCCGAATTTGATATCATTTCCATTAATTTTTCCTTCGAACAATTGTCATTCGATGGGCTTAATGTACTTCCTCACACAGAATATTTTGTTTTACATTCGCTCGGAGCATTGCCTTTGGGAAAGCGGAGGGGTCATACTCGCACACGACCGCTCTGCACCGGTGCGTCAGCTAATAGGATATCAATATATTGGCAAAAACTCTGGGACAGTAAATTATCTCCGGCAAAACCACCCACCACAGAAAAGACTACGAAGTAATCTTACAGAGAGTGTTGTCTTTAATATAAAACAAGTAAGGAAGGGCTAAGTTCGGGTGTCACCGAACATTTTATACTCTCGCATGATAAAGTGATAAGCGAGATTTCAGGCGTGGTTGTGAACCGATTTCATCCATATTTCGTACATGTCATCAGGGAATTTTATTGAAATCGGTCGAGTAGTTCCTGAGATATGGTTTTTGGTCCATAAGTGGGCGTCGCCACGCCCATTTTCAATTTTTAAAAAAAGCCTGGATGCCTTCCTTCTGACATTTCTTCCGTAAAATTTAGTGTTTCTGACGTTTTTCGTTAGTCGGTTAAAGCACTTTTAGTGATTTTCAACATAAC